CAGTAGCACCTAGCAACCAGGGTTCAGTCATCAGTTGGTTAAATAAACAAACCAGTCCTTTCCCTCAGATAAACTGTCTCATAATTATTCTTTAAGAACATTACATTTTGGCGACGAGTGATAAATTAGTTTAATGGTACACCCAGGATCATCCAGATGCAAATTTCCAGAATTTTTGAAGTAATCTGAAGAAGAAATTTGACCTTGAAGACAGAAAGTTGCAGAAATCTGAGCAGCAATACTTTAGTGCACAACACCAAGGAGGTACAGTACATAATATAAATCAATTCTGGAGTGGAAAGTGACACATTGTGGACATGGCTACTGCATTACCAGTATTCCCAGCTTTTTCTGTGTATGGGGACTCTACTTCTATTGGTCCTCGATGGGAGAAATGGTTGAAAGAAATTTGAGACATTTCTAGTTGCATACGATATAAAAAACAATGCAAGAAAACGAGCACTGCTGTTGTTTTTCTGCGGGAGATGAGGTCGCTGATGTTTTTGAAACACTACCTGACGTTGAGGGCAGTGACAATGTATACAAAGCGGCTGTAGATGCCCTGAATAAATATTTCCTGCCCAAAGTGATAAAACCTATGAGGTCAATGTTTTAGGCATGCTACTCAGAAAACTGATGAATCTTGGATCAGTATTTTACCCGTTTGAAACAACTAGCAAGAAATTGTGGTTTTCATGATGTTAATGAAGAAATAAAATCCCAGATAGTATTATCATGTGTGTCAACTAGGTTACGTCGTAAAGCTCTGAGAGATGATTTAACATTAGAGGCACTGTTAGATTCTGGTCGTTCTTTTGAAGTTTCTGAACGTCAAGCCAGAGGTATTGAAAATCAGTCTGAGACAGAAACAGAAGTAAATACAGTCCAGCCTGTAAAAAAGAGCCAGTGGAAAAGAAATAAATATAAGAAATCCCAGCAGTATACTGGTAAACCAAAACGAGTGGAGCCTGACAGAAAACACAAGTCGTGTTTCAGGTGTGGAGGAAAATATCCACATTCAGGTGAATGTCCAGCAAGAGATCAAAAATGCAGAAAATGTGATAAAACAGGACATTTCGCTAAAGTATGTCGGAGTAAAATATTGCAACATGTCAATTCTGCTACAACTAAAGATTTTTCTTCCTCAGATGATGATTATGCATATCACATCACAGTGTCCTCCATATCAACCAATCAACAGCCTGATACTAAAATTGACATAGATGGTCAAACAGTTAAATGTATCATTGATTCTGGTGCAGGGACAAATGTGTTAGACGAGAAAACATGCAAGCTGTTGAATAATGCAGAAATTACACAATGTTCAAAGAATGTGTATGCATATGGATCTAAGAAACCACTTCCAATACTTGGTGAAGTTAAGGTGAATGTAAAGTCTCCTATAACCCAACAGTCTACTGTCACTAAGTTCCATGTTGTAAAAGGATCAGCAGGAAATTTACTGGGTTATTATACAGCAACACAGCTTGGTTTACTACACATAGTAAATTCACTTTCTACATGTACCAGTGATAGTTTGATTGAGGAGTATGCAGACAGATTTGAAGGTATTGGCAAGATGCGAGATACAAAAGCAATTTTGCATATTAACACATCAGTCAAACCAGTTGCACAGCAGCATCGGCGAGTGCCATTCCATGTACGTGAGCAAGTTGAAGCAGAGATAAATAAGCTAGAGCAGTTAGACATAATAGAGAAGGCAGATGGAGCCACTCCGTGGGTATCTCCCATAGTAATAGTACCTAAAAAGACAGGAATCAGAGTATGTGTTGACATGAGAGCTGCCAATCAAGCTATAGAAAGGGAGAGACATCCCATGCCAACAATAGAAGACCTGATTGTGGATCTAAATGGTGCAACGGTGTTCAGCAAGATTGATCTAAACCAAGGTTATCATCAGCTTGAGCTGGACACAAAATCAAGGCATATAACTACGTTTGCTACTCATATGGGTTTATACAGATACAAGAGACTGAGTTTCGGAATAAACTCTGCTGCTGAAATATTTCAGAAAGCAGTATCAGACATGATACAAGGTATACGTGGTGCTAGAAATCTTTCAGATGACATTATCATATATGGTAAGACACAACAGGAACATGATGAAATGCTAAGAGCAGTGTTCCAAAGGCTGCGGAAGTATAACATCACAGCTAATCAACAGAAATGTGAGTTCAGCAAGTCTTTGATTCAGTTCTATGGTCATACATTTTCCAGTGCCGGTATAATGGCGGATGATAAGAAAGTGACAGCAATAATCAATGTCAGAGCACCAGAAGATGCAACAGCTGTACGTAGTTTCCTAGGCATGGCTCAATACATTGCTCGATTTGTGCCTGATTTTGCAACTATTGCAACACCATTACGTATTCTAACTCACAAAGATACAAAGTGGGAATGGGGACCTGAGCAACAAGGATCATTCGAGAAGTTAAAAAGCCTGATGGCAAGTCACAGGGTGATGAAATACTTTGATCCAAGGCTGAAAACAGAGCTGTTAGTAGATGCAAGCCCAACAGGCCTTGGTGCAGTTTTAACACAAGTAAATGAGACCAGAGATACTTGTAATATCATTGCATATACAAGTCGTGCACTGACAGATACAGAGTCACGGTACAGCCAGACAGAGCGAGAAGCCCTTGCAGTTATATGGGCTTGTGAACATTTTCACATTTATGTATTTGGTTCAGAATTCAAGGTGATAACCGACCATAAGCCATTAGAAGGCATGTTCAATAAGTCTAATTCTAAATTAACAGCTAGACTTGAAAGACTAAGTTTGCGTCTTCAACCGTATCAAGTAGTTCTTGAGTATCAACCAGGTGAATCCAACCCTGCTGATTACATGAGTCGACATCCTGACCAGGTAAACCACTGTAAAGACCATGTTTCACGTATTGATACATACATAAATTTTATAATTGAGAATGCGATACCCCCTGCTATGACAATGGCTGAAATTAAGCAAGCAACATCGGAAGATGAAATCTTACAGAAAATAATGGAAGTTATTAACACACAAAAGTGGTATGATTTGCATCATGATGTTGTACAATACAAAGCAGTCAAAGACGAACTGTCAACAGCCAATGGAGTTGTGTTACGTGGAAACAGAATTGTGGTTCCAAAGAAATTGCAACAGAAAGCCATATGTTTAGCTCATGTCGGTCATCAAGGTGTTGTAAAAACGAAAAAGTTGCTGAGAGAAACTCTTTGGTTTCCAGGTATTGACAGAATGGTGGAAGAAACAGTAACCAGGTGCATACCATGTCAAGCATCAACACATGGACCAAAACCTACTATCGAGCCATTAAAAATGTCTACACTGCCAAATGGTCCTTGGCAAGAGGTCTCAGAAGATTTCTGTGGTCCATTCCCAAATGGTAAATATTTGTTGGTAGTCATCGATGACTACAGTAGATACCCAGAGGTAGAAATTTGTAATTCTACATCTGCAGAAGCAGCTATCCCGCACTTCGATGCAATCTTTGCCAGACAAGGTATACCGGACATTGTTAAAACTGATAATGGCCCGCCATATAATGGAGATGAGTTTAAACGCTTTTCTAAATATGTTGGATTTAGACATAGAAAAATAACACCATTGTGGCCAAAAGCTAATGGAGAAGCCGAGAGGATGATGCGAACGCTGGAAAAAGCAGTCCGTGCAGCCAAGCTAGAAGGCAAAAGCTGGTGCCAAGGACTTTTTCAATTTCTGCGTCAGTATAGAGCTACACCACATTCAACTACAGGCATTTCTCCATTCGAAGCTTTGAATAGTAGAAAAATGAAAACAACCCTACCTCAGATATATAATAATAAACCTGATAGGAAAATTCAAGCAAGTGATGCAAAGAGAAAATTATGCATGAAGAAGTATGCAGACACACGCAACCATGCTAAAGCATCAGATTTAGGCATCGGAGACCGAGTCCTTGTAAAACAACAAAAGAGAAATAAAATGTCAACTCCATTCAATCCTGAGCCATATGAAGTTGTGAGTAAGAAAGGCAGTATGACCACCGTCCAGAGAGGAAATCATGAGATCACCAGAAATGCTTCATTCTTTAAGAGAATTCCTCATGAAAATAATGTAGAAACTAATCAAACAATATCGGACAATCTTCAAATATTAGACAATCCTCAAACATCAACAAATCCACCAGAATCGATACGTAGATCCAAGAGAGAAAGACAAAAACCAAGTTATCTTCAAGACTACATAACTTAGTTTCTAAAACATGTCATACTTTCGTGATTTGGGCAAAATAATCCGAAAATAATGGCATTTGAGTAAAAGGACGTCGATCCCTTCACTCACAATTGAAACGATTTTGAAGTTAGTGTTATGTAATTTCTTTTGTTTTATTGAGTGAACCACCGTCCCTCGAGGGACGGTGAGTGAACATATGCCTATGTTTTAAAAAAATTGTAAGTTCAAGTTCATACTTTCATAAATATTGTTCGTTCCTTGACTTTGATATTCACAATATCAACAATTACAATTTGAAGACTTTTAAATATTGATAAGTTATATTTGTTATACATGCTTTCGTGAGTTTCCTTGTTTATCTAAAAGAGAGGAGAGATGTAGTATTCTACTTCTGTATTATTGTGACCTTTGACCTAGTCTTGTCTTGTAATTAATTATGCGGGCATGCTCAGTAGCACCTAGCAACCAGGGTTCAGTCATCAGTTGGTTAAATAAACAAACCAGTCCTTTCCCTCAGATAAACTGTCTCATAATTATTCTTTAAGAACATTACATTTTGGCGACGAGTGATAAATTAGTTTAATGGTACACCCAGGATCATCCAGATGCAAATTTCCAGAATTTTTGAAGTAATCTGAAGAAGAAATTTGACCTTGAAGACAGAAAGTTGCAGAAATCTGAGCAGCAATACTTTAGTGCACAGCACCAAGGAGGTACAGTACATAATATAAATCAATTCTGGAGTGGAAAGTGACACATTGTGGACATGGCTACTGCATTACCAGTATTCCCAGCTTTTTCTGTGTATGGGGACTCTACTTCTATTGGTCCTCGATGGGAGAAATGGTTGAAGAAATTTGAGACATTTCTAGTTGCATACGATATAAAAAACAATGCAAGAAAACGAGCACTGCTGTTGTTTTCTGCGGGAGATGAGGTCGCTGATGTTTTTGAAACACTACCTGACGTTGAGGGCAGTGACAATGTATACAAAGCGGCTGTAGATGCCCTGAATAAATATTTCCTGCCAAAGGTGAATAAAACCTATGCGGTCAATGTTTTTAGGCATGCTACTCAGAAAACTGATGAATCTTTGGATCAGTATTTTACCCGTTTGAAACAACTAGCAAGAAATTGTGGTTTTCATGATGTTAATGAAGAAATAAAATCCCAGATAGTATTATCATGTGTGTCAACTAGGTTACGTCGTAAAGCTCTGAGAGATGATTTAACATTAGAGGCACTGTTAGATTCTGGTCGTTCTTTTGAAGTTTCTGAACGTCAAGCCAGAGGTATTGAAAATCAGTTTGAGACAGAAACAGAAGTAAATACAGTCCAGCCTGTAAAAAAGAGCCAGTGGAAAAGAAATAAATATAAGAAATCCCAGCAGTATACTGGTAAACCAAAACGAGTGGAGCCTGACAGAAAACACAAGTCGTGTTTCAGGTGTGGAGGAAAATATCCACATTCAGGTGAATGTCCAGCAAGAGATCAACAATGCAGAAAATGTGATAAAACAGGACATTTCGCTAAAGTATGTCGGAGTAAAATATTGCAACATGTCAATTCTGCTACAACTAAAGATTTTTCTTCCTCAGATGATGATTATGCATATCACATCACAGTGTCCTCCATATCAACCAATCAACAGCCTGATACTAAAATTGACATAGATGGTCAAACAGTTAAATGTATCATTGATTCTGGTGCAGGGACAAATGTGTTAGACGAGAAAACATGCAAGCTGTTGAATAATGCAGAAATTACACAATGTTCAAAGAATGTGTATGCATATGGATCTAAGAAACCACTTCCAATACTTGGTGAAGTTAAGGTGAATGTAAAGTCTCCTATAACCCAACAGTCTACTGTCACTAAGTTCCATGTTGTAAAAGGATCAGCAGGAAATTTACTGGGTTATTATACAGCAACACAGCTTGGTTTACTACACATAGTAAATTCACTTTCTACATGTACCAGTGATAGTTTGATTGAGGAGTATGCAGACAGATTTGAAGGTATTGGCAAGATGCGAGATACAAAAGCAATTTTGCATATTAACACATCAGTCAAACCAGTTGCACAGCAGCATCGGCGAGTGCCATTCCATGTACGTGAGCAAGTTGAAGCAGAGATAAATAAGCTAGAGCAGTTAGACATAATAGAGAAGGCAGATGGAGCCACTCCGTGGGTATCTCCCATAGTAATAGTACCTAAAAAGACAGGAATCAGAGTATGTGTTGACATGAGAGCTGCCAATCAAGCTATAGAAAGGGAGAGACATCCCATGCCAACAATAGAAGACCTGATTGTGGATCTGAATGGTGCAACGGTGTTCAGCAAGATTGATCTAAACCAAGGTTACCATCAGCTTGAGCTGGACACAAAATCAAGGCATATAACTACGTTTGCTACTCATATGGGTTTATACAGATACAAGAGACTGAGTTTCGGAATAAACTCTGCTGCTGAAATATTTCAGAAAGCAGTATCAGACATGATACAAGGTATACGTGGTGCTAGAAATCTTTCAGATGACATTATCATATATGGTAAGACACAACAGGAACATGATGAAATGCTAAGAGCAGTGTTCCAAAGGCTGCGGAAGTATAACATCACAGCTAATCAACAGAAATGTGAGTTCAGCAAGTCTTTGATTCAGTTCTATGGTCATACATTTTCCAGTGCCGGTATAATGGCGGATGATAAGAAAGTGACAGCAATAATCAATGTCAGAGCACCAGAAGATGCAACAGCTGTACGTAGTTTCCTAGGCATGGCTCAATACATTGCTCGATTTGTGCCTGATTTTGCAACTATTGCAACACCATTACGTATTCTAACTCACAAAGATACAAAGTGGGAATGGGGACCTGAGCAACAAGGATCATTCGAGAAGTTAAAAAGCCTGATGGCAAGTCACAGGGTGATGAAATACTTTGATCCAAGGCTGAAAACAGAGCTGTTAGTAGATGCAAGCCCAACAGGCCTTGGTGCAGTTTTAACACAAGTAAATGAGACCAGAGATACTTGTAATATCATTGCATATGCAAGTCGTGCACTGACAGATACAGAGTCACGGTACAGCCAGACAGAGCGAGAAGCCCTTGCAGTTATATGGGCTTGTGAACATTTTCACATTTATGTATTTGGTTCAGAATTCAAGGTGATAACCGACCATAAGCCATTAGAAGGCATGTTCAATAAGTCTAATTCTAAATTAACAGCCAGACTTGAAAGACTAAGTTTGCGTCTTCAACCGTATCAAGTAGTTCTTGAGTATCAACCAGGTGAATCCAACCCTGCTGATTACATGAGTCGACATCCTGACCAGGTAAACCACTGTAAAGACCATGTTTCACGTATTGATACATACATAAATTTTATAATTGAGAATGCGATACCCCCTGCTATGACAATGGCTGAAATTAAGCAAGCAACATCGGAAGATGAAATCTTACAGAAAATAATGGAAGTTATTAACACACAAAAGTGGTATGATTTGCATCATGATGTTGTACAATACAAAGCAGTCAAAGACGAACTGTCAACAGCCAATGGAGTTGTGTTACGTGGAAACAGAATTGTGGTTCCAAAGAAATTGCAACAGAAAGCCATATGTTTAGCTCATGTCGGTCATCAAGGTGTTGTAAAAACGAAAAAGTTGCTGAGAGAAACTCTTTGGTTTCCAGGTATTGACAGAATGGTGGAAGAAACAGTAACCAGGTGCATACCATGTCAAGCATCAACACATGGACCAAAACCTACTATCGAGCCATTAAAAATGTCTACACTGCCAAATGGTCCTTGGCAAGAGGTCTCAGCAGATTTCTGTGGTCCATTCCCAAATGGTAAATATTTGTTGGTAGTCATCGATGACTACAGTAGATACCCAGAGGTAGAAATTTGTAATTCTACATCTGCAGAAGCAGCTATCCCGCACTTCGATGCAATCTTTGCCAGACAAGGTATACCGGACATTGTTAAAACTGATAATGGCCCGCCATATAATGGAGATGAGTTTAAACGCTTTTCTAAATATGTTGGATTTAGACATAGAAAAATAACACCATTGTGGCCAAAAGCTAATGGAGAAGCCGAGAGGATGATGCGAACGCTGGAAAAAGCAGTCCGTGCAGCCAAGCTAGAAGGCAAAAGCTGGTGCCAAGGACTTTTTCAATTTCTGCGTCAGTATAGAGCTACACCACATTCAACTACAGGCATTTCTCCATTCAAAGCTTTGAATAGTAGAAAAATGAAAACAACCCTACCTCAGATATATAATAATAAACCTGATAGGAAAATTCAAGCAAGTGATGCAAAGAGAAAATTATGCATGAAGAAGTATGCAGACACACGCAACCATGCTAAAGCATCAGATTTAGGCATCGGAGACCGAGTCCTTGTAAAACAACAAAAGAGAAATAAAATGTCAACTCCATTCAATCCTGAGCCATATGAAGTTGTGAGTAAGAAAGGCAGTATGACCACCGTCCAGAGAGGAAATCATGAGATCACCAGAAATGCTTCATTCTTTAAGAGAATTCCTCATGAAAATAATGTAGAAACTAATCAAACAATATCGGACAATCTTCAAATATTAGACAATCCTCAAACATCAACAAATCCACCAGAATCGATACGTAGATCCAAGAGAGAAAGACAAAAACCAAGTTATCTTCAAGACTACATAACTTAGTTTCTAAAACATGTCATACTTTCGTGATTTGGGCAAAATAATCCGAAAATAATGGCATTTGAATAGAAGGACGTCGATCCCTTCACTCACAATTGAAACGATTTTGAAGTTAGTGTTATGTAATTTCTTTTGTTTTATTGAGTGAACATATGCCTATGTTTTAAAAAAATTGTAAGTTCAAGTTCATACTTTCATAAATATTGTTCGTTCTTTGACTTTGATATTCACAATATCAACAATTACAATTTGAAGACTTTTAAATATTGATAAGTTATATTTGTTATACATGCTTTCGTGAGTTTCCTTGTTTATCTAAAAGAGAGGAGAGATGTAGTATTCTACTTCTGTATTATTGTGACCTTTGACCTAGTCTTGTCTTGTAATTAATTATGCGGGCATGCTCAGTAGCACCTAGCAACGAGGGTTCAGTCATCAGTTGGTTAAATAAACAAACCAGTCCTTTCCCTCAGATAAACTGTCTCATAATTATTCTTTAAGAACATTACATTTTGGCGACGAGTGATAAATTAGTTTAATGGTACACCCAGGATCATCCAGATGCAAATTTCCAGAATTTTTGAAGTAATCTGAAGAAGAAATTTGACCTTGAAGACAGAAAGTTGCAGAAATCTGAGCAGCAATACTTTAGTGCACAGCACCAAGGAGGTACAGTACATAATATAAATCAATTCTGGAGTGGAAAGTGACACATTGTGGACATGGCTACTGCATTACCAGTATTCCCAGCTTTTTCTGTGTATGGGGACTCTACTTCTATTGGTCCTCGATGGGAGAAATGGTTGAAGAAATCTGAGACATTTCTAGTTGCATACGATATAAAAAACAATGCAAGAAAACGAGCACTGCTGTTGTTTTCTGCGGGAGATGAGGTCGCTGATGTTTTTGAAACATTACCTGACGTTGAGGGCAGTGACAATGTATACAAAGCGGCTGTAGATGCCCTGAATAAATATTTCCTGCCAAAGGTGAATAAAACCTATGAGGTCAATGTTTTTAGGCATGCTACTCAGAAAACTGATGAATCTTTGGATCAGTATTTTACCCGTTTGAAACAACTAGCAAGAAATTGTGGTTTTCATGATGTTAATGAAGAAATAAAATCCCAGATAGTATTATCATGTGTGTCAACTAGGTTACGTCGTAAAGCTCTCAGAGATGATTTAACATTAGAGGCACTGTTAGATTCTGGTCGTTCTTTTGAAGTTTCTGAACGTCAAGCCAGAGGTATTGAAAATCAGTTTGAGACAGAAACAGAAGTAAATACAGTCCAGCCTGTAAAAAAGAGCCAGTGGAAAAGAAATAAATATAAGAAATCCCAGCAGTATACTGGTAAACCAAAACGAGTGGAGCCTGACAGAAAACACAAGTCGTGTTTCAGGTGTGGAGGAAAATATCCACATTCAGGTGAATGTCCAGCAAGAGATCAAAAATGCAGAAAATGTGATAAAACAGGACATTTCGCTAAAGTATGTCGGAGTAAAATATTGCAACATGTCAATTCTGCTACAACTAAAGATTTTTCTTCCTCAGATGATGATTATGCATATCACATCACAGTGTCCTCCATATCAACCAATCAACAGCCTGATACTAAAATTGACATAGATGGTCAAACAGTTAAATGTATCATTGATTCTGGTGCAGGACAATGTGTTAGACGA